TTATAATATTACATACACTTATAATATTATATGAAATAGTAAGTATTTCGTCTCAAAATATCGTTTTCCTTATGCAATGAGAACGAAACCACGTTTGGGTCGAAAATTTAAACGATGGAGACACGGGCGCAAAAGGTCACGAGCGGCCGCCACGTATACAATGCAAAATCCACCGGCTCTCGCAGTTTTTCCGTGTCATCCGTTCATTAAAGCCCCACGACTTTCAATCCCACAACCTTTGACCTCTACTGCAGCTTCTCTCCCTCTCTGCAACCTTCGCCATGCCCCATGTTCTGAAAAACCCCGAATTTTGATCCCCTCAGGCTTCTTATCTTCCTTTTCCTTATTGGTTATCGTCCGTCGGGTTTGAAGAACGGGAAATGGGGTGTTGTCAAAGCAAAGGTGCTGATGTGAGAGTCAACAGGGTTGCCCGCTGGCGATCCACGGGCATTGTTGCTTTGCGGGACGCCAAATTGAAGGCAAGTTTTAATCTTTTCCAATCACGCACATATATATTAGGGGATGGCTGATAATTTTTAGATTTTTCTTGTATTTTTCTTGATTTTAGCCTTTTCGTGTTCGTTTGGATGATTTATTTTTGGGTTTGGTTGAATTTGCTTCGATTGATTAGGAGTCATGGAGTAACAGATGATAGGTAGAAAATCTTGCCCATTTCTTGTTCGTGTACTTTCGTTCCACTACTACTATTGAGTGGCTACAATTTCACTCATAAGGATGATAGGATATTGATTTTATTCAGTTTACATGTGGGTTGACCAAGCCAATGCGATTTATTTTGTCTAGTTTAGAATTGCAGTAAGAATCAGATTTTCAAAAATAAAAAGGATGGGGGTAAGAATCATGCAAAATGGAATCTGGCCTGAAATGGGGTTCCATTTCCTTGTAGTGTATATTGAGGAGTCAAGAATATCTTTAAGTGTGAGTTACTTTGTAATATATTTGAAATTACATGAAATATCTGACTGTTTTAGGTATTTCTTTGTATAAGTATTGTCTTCTCTGGAGTAGATTTTGGTCAGTTTTGATTAATTTGAAGGAGTTTCTGAATCCTTTGATTTGAGCTTATGATGGAGAGTTGCCACAATGTCTACGATAGAGTATATTTCTATCAGTTTTAATTTATGTGAAGGAGTTACGGAATCCTTTGATCCAAGTTTATAATGGAAAGCTGTCACGGTACCCTTTTTTTTCTTTAGTGTTTTTTGTTTCATTTATAAAGCAGAAACTGCATTTTAGTTTTTTATAGCAGGGCCCTTAATAATGTTTGTCAGAATAAATATTACAATCTATGTTCCTTCATTGAGTATCAATTTAAAATGATTAGATATCTATTTATAAGTGATACCTATATGATACAGTAAACGTTATTATGTGAATTTTAATTTATGTTATATGGTTTATGTGGCATTGTTAGTTGTCTTGACTTCCAATGAATGATTATGACATCCGTTAAATTTTTTTGTTCCTGTCTTTTGTTTACTTTTTCTTTACAGACATTTCCTGATGAAGTTCTAGATCTGGACAGAACTGTACGAACTCTTGACTTAACAAACAATAAATTAGGTAATGCCTATTTATTGGAATTGGACCTTTTTTGGGGTAAACTTGCATGTCTCATAATGAAGCCTTGATTTCTTTTAATCTTTCCTTCTCTTTTGCTCCCCTCCCATTTTCTCTGCAGTTGATATTCCTATGGAGATCAGCAAATTAATCAACATGCAGCGACTGGTATGATTTATGCATGTTTGTAATACCTGTACCCCCCTTTTTGAAAAGTAACAGGCTAATCTATGGCATTTTTACCCACTCAAAAGTTTCTAATGTTAAAGTCTGACTAGGTGTCAAGTTGAAAAAGGTAATTTATTAGGCAGAAAGTAGAGTTAGATGTAACTGGAAGGCAGAGAATATAATTGGTCTGATCAGTTAATACCATTTGAACAAAATAAAGAAAAGAATGGATTAAATAAACTTGCTAGTCATGACACATTCTGCTGGTTTCAGAAGTGAATTCATCACATGACTTCGTAAATTAAGATAGCAGATTTAGCATTTTGTACTTTAGGTTTATTGAACGATATCCTACAAGGCTTCAATTTGTCTCAAATGTTTGACTTGTTTTGCTAAACGGTAAAACCTAGCTAAATAAAGCTTGATTACTACTAAGTAGTTATCTTGTTTCAGATTTTAGCTGGTAATCTTATCGAGCGCCTTCCAATTAACTTGGGGAAGCTTCAGTCTCTTAAAATTATGACTCTTGATGGGAATCAGATCACTTCCTTACCTGATGAATGTAATATCCTTCTCTAAATAAGTAAGATATTCTTATGTTTGATTTAGTTTGTTTTCCTCCATGATTTTTGAAGATTTGCCTGATGGTTATATCTCCGAAATGCATGAGGTAATGTTACTTGCTCTGCTTCACCTGCTTCTTTTTGTTTCCTCTGTTATAGTGGGCCAGCTGGTAAGACTTGAGCAATTATCGATCTCTGGAAATATGTTAACATCCTTGCCTGAGACTATTGGGAGCTTGCGCAATGTAAGATATCCATTTAAAGAACAATGCTTGATATGGACTTTTTTCTAGCCTCTTTGAACAATGTTTGTGTGCTTGCCTGAGTTAGTTATCACTAAGGTAAATCGACAATCAAACTAGTGCAGCATACTGGTTTTTGCATCTTTCATGATTCTGAATCTTAACCTTCTTTATGTAACATTAATAAAGAAAAAGAAAACTGAGAAGGATTAGGAATATGTCAAAGCTGGAATAAACCAAACTATATTAGTAATTCTATCTAATGTGGTTTTCTTGACAATGCAGTTGTCTCTACTAAATGTGTCTAATAACAAGTTGAAGTCACTCCCAGAATCAATTGGAAGTTGCTTTTCTTTGGAAGAAATACAGGCAAATGGTATGTATGCTCATGGCTGCATGATATGCTAATTGTTTACCACTTTTCTACTCTAAAACTATTTTTTCTCAGAGAATTGTTTTTCTGGATGCAGGATCATTTGTGTAGTTTGAATTTTTTCGTTGCTTGTTTTGATATCTTGTTGCTTATAATGTTTGATGAAAGTAATAACATTTTAATTTCTGCAATAGCTAAGAACTAACTAACTATATCTTTGCCATTTGAAATGAATTATAAGGTTTGATGAAAGTAATAGCATTTTAATTTCTGCAATAGTTAACTAAGTAACGATACATTACTTTGCCATTTGAAATGAATTATCTGTACTTAAATCTTGTCTCAAAAGAGAACTGCATGGTATTAGTACTTCTCCAGAAAATTTTCAGAAGATAGTGGTTTAAGTGGATGGATAAGCTTTGATGAAATTCTTTTGTCAACTTATAAAGACCTACGATGTTTTCGGACTGTTGTTCTTAATGGTGCATTACTTCTTTCGATAATCAGTAAGACTATGATTAGATGGGGCCCTCTTTCCTAGTTATTTTAGCATGTTTGGCTTGTAATGTGATATGGGTCAGGAGAAATTGAATATTGCATGTGCCAAATGGTTGGCTTGGTTTTTGCCTAGTCTGGTTTTCTTTGCACAGCGTCATTTCTTCTGGTTGTGACCATTGATAATTACGTCTTTTATAATTATTTGCATTTGATTTAGTCCCATCCTACCTACTTGATTTTGAGCATCTTCCAGGATTTGTCTTGTTATTTGTTCATCATCATTTTGTGAGCTAGAAGGGGTCTTGCCAAAGTGTACACTCTATTTTCCCCATGGATTTGGAAGAACACATCCCCTCCCGGAAGAAAAAACCTCAGTTACCATGTGATGCAGTCAAGGAAGGATATTTGGAAGAATAATTTATATGATTTAGGATTCTTTTATAATAATGAATATTTAGGAGGAGTTAATTTGTGGTGTCTGATGTAATTCTAGATCTAGGGAAATTATATTTTTTATGCTTAGTTTGTTGCTATTAGGATTTGATTTAGTTCCTATTTTGTTTAGGTTTTGATAGCTTTGATTAAGAGTCTCTTATTATAATCTAGGTAACTGCTGTTATGTATTAGGGTTAGATAGATTATGATGAATTGAATAAAGATTTCCCCAAAACCTATTTGCTTCTTTTATATTGACAGCCTATTTCTTCTAACTCTCCCTTTCTTTTCCTCTATTTTTAACTTTGCTATCTCTGTTCTGCATCACCATTGCCATAAGTGTTTGCTTTCTCTGATTGTGGTAGTTTTGGTGCATGGCATGTTTTGTCAACCTATTTTAACTGCCCAGCTTCATTATTGCAAATTTGACAGATAATCTTATCCAAGATCTTCCTTCATCAGTTTGCAATCTCGCTCACTTAAAGTCACTTTGCCTGAACAATAATAATGTGAGCCAGGTAAGTGCTATACAGTTGATGTCATTTTAACTTTTTCTGATGGTAGATTTATCTACTATTTCTTCACATTCTCTGTGCTGACTGAATATGGGCATAGCAGCTAGTAGCCTTCTTCATCCTACAAATTCTATCTCCTTATATGTTCCTGATCTAAATGTCTTTCAATTATGATTCTGTTCATACTTCAGACTAGGGAAGTTTCTATGCAAAGCCTTGATTAAGTTGAGAGAAGATGCTTTTTTCATATTAAAGCTACTGTAACATTTACAAAGGAACCCTAATGTGCTGCCAATACCATAAATCTATGACTGTTGTTAGGGACCCTGATTCTGCCAGTCTTCTACTTCCTAAACAATTTTAGGTTTTTTGGTCTCTTTACTGCATGTGTGGTGCAGTTTACTTGTTATTTGTTGGCTCTCTGTGGAATTTGATTCCAAAATCCCTTGGTTGACAGATTCCTGCAAATCTACTGAGAGATTGTAAAACTCTGCAAAATATTTCCCTGCACAACAATCCCATTTCCATGGATCAGTTTCAACAGGTAGCTAGTGTGTCTTTAATTTGCTGTATCATGCATGTTCACCTTTCCTAAATAGTTAGGTAAGCTTGGTATGTTTTAATGAGAAAAAGACTCACCCATAGATGGAAGGATTCCATGAATTTGAAGCGAGGAGGAAAAAGAAGTTTGACAAGCAGATTGACTCTAATGTGATGATCAGTTCCAAAGGCCTTGATGAGGGTGTTGATCTATGATGAAGCTGTGTTCAAAGTTCTGATTGAAAAAAAAAAGTGAGTCCCACAGCAAACTTGTGATAGTTCCCTAGTCTCTTTCAAACTTTAGAAATCTATGATTTCTTGTTGAGACACATCTGGATGAATTGATAAGTTCTAGAGCCCGTTTCTTACTGACACACACTTGGTACCCTCATTACTATTTACTTTATTTATTCTGTGTCCGCCAATTTTAAAGTTGGAGAATAAACTATATTACCTGGAATACTGAGTCAGGATTTATCCTTAAGCTTTCCTGATTCAACACATGATGCGGGTATCTATCAAATATAGCATATTGGATGCATGAATTAATTTGATCTTCATTTGTGGTAGAAGGATACACAAGCTCACATACACACGTTTTTGGTGGTTCGATTATAGCTGATTCTACATTGACATGACATGTTTTCAATTTTCAACTCTAATGTAGCTCCAATGCAGTTTTTCATGTGTTTTCTATTCCACATTTACTTGGTGATCCAATTTAACCTCTGATTTGTTTTGAGCAGGAAGGGTGGTGTATCCTCATAAACAGCTGTAGATTCCAATTTGCTCTTCTTGCTGTTTTGGAAAGATTGTACAAGTGCTTGAGTCTTCTGTAAACATGAGAAATTATAATAATAATACTTCTAAACTTCCAGTCATATCTCATTGTAAATTTAAGTTATGGTGTTTATTTGTGTTAGGTTTTCTTTGGCCTTTTAATAGTACTTTTACTTGCTTGTCATTTGGAGGCTTGAATATGAAATGAAACAATTGCACACAATGGCAAAATTCTATTCTAATAATACACAAACGTTATATTGTAAAATCAATATATAATGAATAATTTATATAAGGCTATATTATAATTTGATTGGTAAAAAAAGAAGAATGAAGGGGAAAGGATAGAAAAGTTTTTTAACTAATTAAATTATTTTTTTTAATATTATAATTTGATTGATAAAAAGATGGCAAAACCGTAAGTGAAGCCTCTGAACTAATCCCAGAATCGCTATTAAGCCCCCAGATTTTAATTGATGCAGTTAAGCCCTTGAACTTTGGGATCAAAGCAATTAAGCCCTTCTTCCTATACTATTACGCCCCTAGACTTTAATTTTGTTTAAGTAGATCATACATTTTAATTTTTAAATAAAATATAATATATTTAATTAGTTTGTTGATTACACAAAATTCAACATCATTAAATAGTATCAATAAATAAAGTTTTTTGGATTAAGGTGTTATCAATGTTTAAGTTTAAAATTAGTTAAAATTCTCTTATATACAAATTTTATATATTATATTTATATAAAATTTTTATTATTTATTTCTCTACTTTTAATAATGAAGATTTATTTATTTTTTATCATATTTATTAAAGATAAATTATTTTTATGTAAAAAATTATAATAAATTTCAACTATTAAAAGTAAAAGGATAAATTGTTAAAATTTTTTATATAAATATAATATGTAAAATTTATGTATAAGTGAATTTCTAATACTTTAAAAATTAACATGTATAATTTAAATAAATAAAATATGTAATCTAAATAATATTTAAAAAAATTTTATCATAAAATAAGTTTTTACACAAATTGTCCAAAAGAAATTTTTAATGACTATAAATTTAGTTTGAGAGTATTGAATTTTTTAATCTTTTAATATCTTCAAAATATATAAAATATATTTAATAATTATTTTAATTAATATTTTATATATTTTAAAATAATAAAAAACTTAAAAATTAAAATATCAAAAAATATTGTTACAACTTCTTCTGTGTATTTCCTTAACTTTTTTTTTTTAGCCATAAAATTGCTTTTATTTAATCACGTGCAAAAAACGTACAAGACCTTGTTTATTTTGCCGGAATATTAAAAACTTGCTCTGACTCTTTTTTTTTTTTTAATCCAATTTTTGCTTCATATTACATGCCACGTGTGACCAACCCAGTATTCCAAATCCAAATAAATTTCACCCTTCATTCACAAAACCGCAACCCAGTACTCATGAGCGGGTTGATAAGTTGATTGGAATTTTTTCAGTTTAATAAGAGATTTTAAATTTAAATTTTAAAAATATAATTTTATTAAAACTCATAAAAAAGAATTTTACTGTTTATTAAATCCTATCTAATTCGAATCTAAATTAGTCATTCACCCAATAAATTTCTGGATACAAAATGAGAAAAACAAACTGGCAGAAGAACAAAAAAAAAAAAAAAAAAAAAACAAAACCGCAATCCGCATATATACCCCCGTGGAGGTACGTCTTCCAATTCCCCCAACCAGGAGTGGCACTCCCCTGTAATTATTTCCAGATACGCGTCCTTTTCGGTTATTTTTCCTATTCTCGGACAATTCTTCCTTGTATCAAAAAGGTAACCCTATCCTTGCCCTTTTTCGTCATTAACAACCCATCTTTTCCGATCCGCATATTTTCTCCCTCGATTCCATCTCTGTTTCTTCGATTAATCATCCAATTGATCGTGTATTCGATTAGATCTCTCTTTTCTCTTTCGATTGATCCCTTTTTCGGCCTTTCCCGTCCTCTTTTCTGGTTTTTAGGGTTAGGGTTTTTCGGGTTAGGGTTTTTCGGGTTCCCCGGTTTGTGATTTCGATCTCAGATCTGTGATTTCCTGTTCTGGATTTACCGATTTTGATGTCTGGGTTTTCGATTTTGCTCTTTGATTCGTTTTGATTTTTGGATATTATTTCGGCTTTTGATTTTTGGGTTTCTGATTCTTTGATCGAATTATTTGTTTAATAGATCTGTTAGGTTTTGACGCGCTGCTGGTTGTGAATTGGGTCAGGTGTAATTTTGTGGATTTCCTCTGTAAATTTAAGATCTAGGGTTAGGGTTTGTAAAAAAAATTGGGGGTTTTGTTTATATTGTTAAATTGGGTTGGGGGAAAGTCTTCTTTCATCCAGTATAGCTATCTTATCCCTTAATTTCTTGTTGATTTGAGCTGAACCTTTGCAGTTTAGTGACCTGCTCACCTGTTTTGAAGGAAGACTTTTTCTTGAGGTAAAAACCGCTTTATCCTGGTTAATTTGAAATTAAAGTTTTTTTTTTTTAAAAGGCAAATGTGGTCTTACCTTATGTAGGTTAATATTTTAACAGTGTTGTGTGAATACTACTTAAATAGGCCTAACTAGCTTTCCCTCCCCAAATTGTTTAGGATGCATGGGCATGCATAGCTCAATTCATTCTTTCATGTCATTTACATTGTAGCAGACAAATGTGAATTCTGTGCATGTCCATGGAATGTAGTAGGCAGCTCAACTGTTCATTTCTCTCTAATAGTTTGCGTAAATAAATTTTTACAAGGTACTAGTGTTAAGCAATTTTACATGGTATCTAAAGTTTGGATGTCTCTTTTGGTTTTTCTGAACTGGGATTTGCTAGCTTCTATTTTATTGTTATATCAATTGATGCCTTTTAGGTTGTGTGAATTGTAAATTAATACCGACTTATTTCATAATTCAAGATATTCTCAATATTTTTGAAATTGCTGGTCCTTTTAGAGTTGTTGCTTTTCTTGTACAAGTTACAAGGGAATCAATATATTGGCCATACTATTCTTTGCAATTTTTTTTAACAAAGTTAGCTCTTTGATGCAGTTAACATGGTACAGAAGCGGCCTTTGGGTGAGGAGGAAACTTTGGAGGTTTCTAACAAGCACCTCAGGCAAGCAAAGCTAGAATCACCTTCAGACCCAATTTTTTCAGAAATTGCTTACCAGAAATCCAACATTTCAGGTGAGTTAGCCCCTAGTAAAAGCACATGCAGCACACTTAGATTTGGGTTTTTCTAAGTATTCTTTCATCACACATCCAATCATTTGTCTCTGATTTGTCTGTGGGCGTATGGTTACAGTATTTGCCAGTTTGCCTGCAATGTTACACATGACACTTTTCCAAACTATGATACATGATCGTGAACTGTTTACTAATCTATATCCAAATTGGAGCTTTCAAACATAGTTTAGCTCTTGTTCTGTACATTGTTTAATTATTTTGAGGCACCAGTTGCATGTGCTAGCATGGGTTTTTTTCATAAAAAATATGACATTATTCAGTTATACTCTAACAAGCACCTTAGGCAAGCTTAGCCAGATTGCCAGAATTAGTATTGGATTATTGAGTGGTAATATATCTTGCTTTTTCCTTCCAGTTTGTAATGTTTCTTGTAGTTCTTACCATTTGGTAATGTTTCCTGTAGTTCTTACCATTTAGTAATGTTGAATAGGTATAGGAGAGGACAGATTCATTGATGCTGATGCCAATGAAAAGCTTGGACATGTTGTAGGCATGGAACAACTGGGTGCCAAGGCCTTTGACTCCAATGTTAATGGCTCCCATTCCATGTCCTCTTGGGGCACCAGCAGTACCAGTGAAGAGGATTCTGGGACAGATGAACCACTTCATGTACCACTATTACCAGAATACTATAACCCTGAGAGGCCCATAAGGACATTAGCTCATTGGGAAGATATCTATACTCTACTTTTGGAACATCCTCCACGAAAACATGTTCCTATTGGACCAAATCATCAAGCTGATGTTCCGATGTGGGATTCACAGGTTACTGAAAATGCTACTAATCATGTCTGTTCATCTGAAGTTGCTGCTGATGGATATGAGAAAGCTCTGATGGGAACTTGTATTGTTCCAATGCCTGATTTAGAATCCTCTTCATATGATGGAGAAATGGTTGGAAAGGGCAGGACTGATTGCGGTTGCAATGACAAGGGTTCTGTAAGATGTGTCAGGCAGCATGTTGATGAAGCAAGAGAAAAACTCAGAAAATATATTGGGCATGAAAGATTTGTGGAGCTTGGTTTCTGTGACGTGGGTGAGCTAGTGGCAGAGAAATGGAGTGAGGAGGAGGAACAGTTATTTGACAATATTGTATACTCTAATCCAGTGTCCTTGGGCAGGAATTTCTGGAACAGCCTTTCTGTGGTCTTCCCTTACCGAACCAAGAAGGAGATTGTAAGTTATTATTTTAATGTATTTATGCTGCGGAAACGGGCTGAGCAGAACAGATGTGAATCAATGAGCATTGATAGTGACAATGATGAGTGGCAGGGAAGTGATGATTCTGGCAACAGTGAAGCTGGGATGTCTGATGAAGATGAGGATTCTGTTGTTGAATCACCTATATATGGAGATGATTTTAGTTATCATCAGAGCCAAGAAAATGGCTTGCATGCTTTTGATGAGAATGTTGCAGATGAAACCTGTGATGATGACAAAAATGTAAATCATGGCACTGGTGCAGAGATGACCAATGTTCCTGAACCTTTTTCAGGAAAGTTGTTCAACATTTACACTTCTCATCCTGCAAGTGAGGTCCAAGGGAAGACTTCATATGATGAACAAGGAGAACAAGAGGTTCAATATGATTCGTGCACATCTTCTGAAAAAGGGGCTGGCTTACTAGATTCCCATCTGAACACTGAGAATGGTGACCATTGGCCTGGCAGCTTTAATGGGTTAACCAGTGATGGCGACCATGAATTTGTGTTGGAGCATTGTGATCCTAAAGTTTGGGATGCTGCCTATCCAACTTGCCAGAGGAATAAATTTGACTTCTTACCTACTTGCAGTATGATTGAAGAGGTTTTTGGTGATGAATCGTGGAACTACAAACCAAGAGATGGCAAAAGCATGAGCTAGTTCCTGAGGGATCATTGTTTTTTTCCCAGTGATGATGGTTTTGGAAAGCACCAGCCATCAGTTTCACCTTGGTTGGATGAATCAGTAGGAAGTTTTCCCTCTTAGATAGCAGCCAATGAAAGAAGAGTTCAATTTTTCCTTTGTACATTCACATATAATGGAAGCCTGCCCTTCACTGTAAGATAGAATTCTCGAAGGTGATTGGTTTTCAAGTCTTCAGGCACTGGAATATAATAACCTCTTTCACACCCTTCATAGAAACCAACAATCCTTTGTAGGTTTTGCTCCCATGGGTGGATGATTGTTAGGAAAGAAAAATATATATATATATATATATATATATATGTTGGTTGTTAGGGTCTGGGGTTCTCATGTAAGTTTTGAACTGCAACTCGCTCTTCTAAATGCAAATTTTGGTTATACCAATCTTACTGCTCAATTGTTTCTTACAATTTTTGCACTGATCTCACTTTTTTTTTTTTACCCTAGTCTTGAGGGAATTTGTTCTTTACAAGGGTTTATGGTTTAGAGTAAATACTTATTCCATGCACTTCTATCCGCTGATTCTGCTCTCATTACTGTGAAGAATTCTTAGTTATTTTATCCATTTCTCCACTCTGAAGTGGAATTACTGGTCTCTTATCTGCAAAAACAGTACACCTCTATTATAATTCAAGCACCCTTTTGAAACTAGAACTTCTCTTTTCATGTCAAACTATTTCTGGGATGGGATAGAATATTCGAACCTGAAACTCTTTAAAACCTCAATGTATCCCTCAACGAAGGCCCTTTTTCATGCTTGCCCATGGATAAAGAGATTGCTATCATCATTCAAACCATTGTTAAGTACACCACTCGACAACTTGACTTAAAATAATGCAGTTATTCTCTTTACCTAGCCATTCTTTCTATTAAAGAAATCGCAGAGTCCCTGACTACTTTTATAATAAATTTACAACTTGATTATTGGCTGCTCCTGAATGTCAATAAATTACGGGGAAAAGAAAATGTCAATTAACTCCTTTTTCTTCTTGTACCAAATGAGACTGTTTGATCCTTCCAAATACTCGGCATTTCCCTGCAGTTTAGGAAGCAATACTTGATCATGAACTCTACCTGTGATTCTAAAGTTTGAAATGACCATTTGGTTTAAATTGTTTACCAGTTTTCTGGAAAGTGTTTGACTAATTATTCTGATTTTTATGATGGCAATTACAAAAAAAGTACACTAGTTCAATCAATTATTCTGACTTGGAATAAGTTTTGTTAATTCTACAAAACCTAGTTGAAATTTTAGGGTTCTGTGGGATTTGGTAGAATTGTGAACTTCATCAGTATTAAATTAAGTGCTCCTTTGATGTATGAAGAGCTATTTTATGCATTAAATGAGCCAAACATTTAAGTCTAACACCCACATGGCATTAGATAAAGAAAATGCAACTCAAAATCAACAAAATAATAAACAAAAATTTCTAGGATTGGCTCATATATTCTACTGCTTCTAGCTCCAAACCACCCTCCACCCAAAAAAACCTAGCTGGTCCCCCATGCCACTTAGTTCTCATTACAAAACTTATATCTTTTTCTATGTCTCTTTTTTAGATATTCTTTGTTAATTTACGTTAATTTAACTAAATTTGTATTTATATTAAAATTAAAAAAATTATAAAAAATTACTTTTTTGTAATGTATTAATTTAATTATAAATCAAATCTTAATCAATAATACGGGTTTTACCTACTCTAGAAACAGGAAGCATCATACATCATATACACCAACTTGGAGAGGGCTTCTACTTGGGGTTAAACTTTGAGTATTCCCCAAGACTTGTTGGTGAGAGCTTGCTCTCCATGACACATGCAGCATTATTACTCATATGAAGGCACACATGCACCTTTATGAATAGGCCAAATACCATATAATGTTTTATTATTCAATTCATCCATATTAGTGCTCACAAGAATTAGCGCAAAATCTCCTTTCCACTCAATCTGCTTCAATCTTTTGATCTATTACTCTCTCACTTTACCTTTGTGAAGGAAGAATGTTCCAACCACTCACCAAGATGATTAAAGCTTAATATGCTTATAATAGATGAAACTTCATTTCTAATCATTTTAAAGCTAATTTATTAATTAATCAATTGATTGGTGTCGGCGGAACCCTAGCTGAGTAATCAAGTAATTGTAACCTTATGCAACTAAAGTTCTGCATCTATAACCAAATTCTCAAGTTATTGCTTGATGAGGTAAAAGAAGAGAACCCACATGGGCACAACGGATCTTTTTCTATGAAATACAGAGAACAAATTTCTTAATTTTAGTGTGAATGAACTATCTTTAATTGGATTAATTAGAAAGATGAATTTAATTTGATTAGTAGAGATTAGTTTCCAAAATTAAAAAGTTATTGGGTTTGGAATTTTGGGTAGGAGAGAGAAATGGGTAAGGCTAGGGTATTGTCATTGATGGGGATTAGAAGGAAGATAGGAGCTTCATCAAGAAATATGTAAGTGTATAAAAGCCAAAGCGAAAGGGCATCTTATCTTGGTCTAATGCGCTGCAAAACAACGAGGCATGACAGAAGACAAGGCGTAGTTATGTCTTCCCTTGGAAGGCCTCTACTTGTCAATTTGAGTATCACTTTTGGAGGGCCAAACCCAACACTCTTGACTCTCAAGTGAAGTTTCTGCAGGCAGCTAGTAGAAGTTGCACCATATGCCATTTCCCCAAACGTGATCTAGATCTGGCTTTAGATTTGCATATCATAGGCTCCTAGAATTTGGGTTGAAACTCAAGGAAACTCTAATACATTGTTTTGTTCTGTGAATTTGGATTAAGCGTCTGAGACACGAGTATGTACTCACGAGTTCTACCCTTGATACATGTTCAATATGTGTACTTTATTGTAAAATGAAGATTCCAGGTAACATAAATTCCAAATTACAGAATCAGATTACCATAGCACACATTTCTTCCTTTTTCTTTACTGTAAAGAGATTCTTTTGGAAAATGAGCTGCGTTCATCAATAAAACCGTGTTAAAATTTTAAGAACTGAAGTTAATCAATAATTAATCACAGACATTATATCATAAGATAGTGTGCAATACAGCATTGCTTCACATGACCTTCATGATAAATATTATTATTGTTATGTCAAAAGGGCAACAATAAAAAAAATTGTTTCATTTTTCTCCAACCACCACATGAAACAAGGAAGAAAGGCAAAATTGCAGACAAACTTACAGCTAAACATTGTACTGAATTGCCGGCGAAGAAGGGCACAGAGAAGGAGGGATTTCTCCCAAAGATGCTGATTAAAGGCGGTTAATGCAAAGAAAAGCCGGCTAATGATTATTACCAAAGCCTAATTAACATAAGCTAAAATACGAAGCTCCTCTGTTTAAAAAATTAGAGGCACCCCAGAAAGACCATAAAGACAGACAGCTTGTACTGATGATCAGTTCTGTAGGGTATACCCTGAACTAGAAAGGGTAGGCACTAATCATCCTAACTAATACAACCAACTTGTTCATATAGTTTGGTCACCGGTTTAATTATACTAAAACTATTACGATTTGCTTAATTCCTTTTAAATTAAGTGCTTTTCACCTGCCTGCTCCTGGAATATGTATGTGTGTGCTACTTTTTTTAATCACTTTGACCTTCATAAGCCGCTCAGCAGCTTAATTACACAAAGGAGGGTCATGAGGAGGCATGACTTTGGTGCCTTAATGAAGTGCTTTTAAAGGAATCTATAAATGTGAAGTAGATCTAAGGGTAGATTGCATTTAAATAGAACCAACAAGGCCTCAATTACATTGGTTAAGAACTTAGAAGGTAATGCCCTACAACGTTGAGGTTGTGGGTTCGACTCTTGCAAATATTCCTTAGGGATCGTCTCCATAGTTATAAAGGACTTTATACTCTTTAATCATTTATCAAATCTATAAAAAAAAAAAAAAAATTAGCATTTAAATAGAAAAACGGCAGGAGAGTGAACACTTTTTAATTGGGGTGGGGCAAAGGCTTAATAGCGGGACAAAGTAAGGAATAGTTAGGAAGGAGAGGACAGTTTTTTTACAAGTAGGAGTAGCTTCCTTAACCATAGGGATGGTCACTGAACAGATCTGAGCCCTTAGATTTCGAGGTGGCGTAGGATTCTCAGTTGAGTACACGTGCTCTCCTCTTTCCTCTCCTTTACCTCCTTTTATCTTTGCTTCCATGCATGGATTTCTCCTCCAAATTTAGTAAGAGAAGCAAGGAAATTTTTTTTTTTAAACACAGTTTTGTTCATCTCCATCATTAGCAACAAAGCTAACACCAACACACCCACCTAGCTAGCTCTTCATAAAAAAAGAATTGATCTTTTCTTTATATTTCAACTACCCCATGAAGCTATGGTCACTTCTACTTAATTTTCACTTGGTCTCTTTCTCAATCAGATCTTGAGTTCTTCTTCAACCTTTGATTCTGGAGATGGGAAACCATGATCTAAGACAATTCTGTTGATTTTCTTACATGGGCTCTTGGAGATTCCTTTGTTGGGTTGTTGCAGTGTGAAGAGATTGAGAATTTGAAGCATTGTTTATGGTTGCCCGTTTCTTTGATCAGATTTGAAGGCGTGGTTTCTTGTGTTTGATTGTTTGCCTGGCTGTATTGTGAATTTGGAATTCTGTTATCAATGGAGGAAGATCTAGAATTCAAGCATGTGTGCAAGTTTTGCAGCAAGAGCTTCCCCTGCGGAAGATCCTTGGGTGGTCATATGAGGTCTCACATCATCAACACCACCAAGAATGGCAATTCTGCAGAAAGAGATGATCAAAAGCACAGCAAGAAGAAGGTGAGAGTGTCTGTCAAGAATGAAGGTAGCAACAGCAACACTAACACAGAACAGGAAAGCATCATGGGGTATGTCCTGAGGGAGAACAGGAAGAAGACATGGAGGGCTGTTGATTCAAGTCAAGATAACAGTTCAGTTCAGTACAAGTTCTGCAAGGAGTGTGGCAAAGGATTTCTGTCATGTAAGGCATTGTTTGGTCACATGAAGTGTCACTCAGAGAAAGAGAGATTGTCTGTAAGCTTGGAGGAGCAAGATTCTTGGACCGGTGGTGATTGCCAGTCTGATAATGATGAAACTGCAGCTCCAAGCAAAGGGAGGAGATCTAAGAGAAGAACAAGGTACATAAGCTCTACCGCAGCAAATTCTTCCACTTTCTCTTTACCCAATCATGCTTCCTCTTCTGTTTCTGAGATTGATCAGCAAGAACAGGAAGAGGTTGCCATGTGCTTGATGATGCTTTCCAGGGATGTGGGCAATTGGGGTGGCTTGAATTTTGTTGCTGAGTCTTCTGATAACAATTCTGTGTTCCTGGAAGCTAAAACCGAGGTTCTGAAGATGAAGAAACAGAAAGAAAAGGAGATAGATTCTGCTTTTCTGGATTCTGATAACTTCAGACCTTCAGAATTTTCTGCTTCTGGGATTTCAAGAAATGGGTCTGCAAGAAATGACAGAATTACTAAGTCACTACAGCCAGATAGTCAATTTGGAGCAGAGGACTCTGAAGTTGAATTGGGGAAGAATTTGGAGAAGCAAACTGGATTATTAGATCAAGCCCGGCCGGATTCCAAGAGGCAAAATTCAAGCAAGAGGAGGCCGCATGATTCATATGATCCTGGAATGAAGTCAGACTCATTGCAAAAACGCGTATCAGATGTTCTTGATTCTGAATTCTACAAGGATCCTTTCAAGAGAAGCAAATTTGAGTGTACTACTTGTAACAAGATATTTCACTCTTACCAAGCCCTTGGGGGTCACAGAGCCAGCCATAAGAAGACCAAAGGCTGCTTTGCTTCAAGAGCTGACTCCAAGGAAGAAAACAACATTGAAACTGAACTCTCGCCTGACCCAACAACAGAAGAAGAAAGAAAGCTTATCAAGTTTATTGGCAATCAAATTCCCCATGACCACTTTGCTAGAGACAATGATGATAAGGCTGCAACAAGCTGTGGGACAAAGAAGAGCAGAGGACATGAGTGCCCAATCTGCCTTAAAGTGTTCTCATCAGGCCAAGCCTTAGGTGGTCACAAGAGATCCCATTTACTCAATGAGGCCAGGGACAACCAAACAGTTCTGATTCCCAAGCCTTTACCAGAAATTCGAGACTTTCTTGATCTCAACCTGCCTGCCCCTGTTGAAGAAGAGACTAATCCTCAAGTGGGGCTCAACCAGTGGTGGGTAGGAAGCAGCCACAAGCATGAAACTCTAGTGGGGTTGATCTCAAACTGAGTACTTTTTTCCCAATGAAGGTCCAAAAAAGAGTGTAACTGTACAGTACAGAGTCTACAGAGTGCAGACATACGCTGGATATTATTATTTCATTCATTCTTTACAGATTCAAGAAATTTCACCATGGTATTTGCTGCTTACTTCCTTTAAGAAGAAAGATCCTTCATGTTCTTATTTTGTTTTTTGGGTCATAGAATAAAATCTTCTTGGTTGTAGGAGTAAAAGAACCTCACTGAATACTGTAATTGGGAATTTCTTGTTTCTTCATCATCTCAAGTATCTGGAACTGCACTTTTGAATGGAAAGCAAGAATTATTTTTTCTTAGCACCAAAGAGAAAATGAGTGAGGGTGTTGAAAATTTTGATTGGGTGTGGTGAAGTCATGAGAAAGGGGATAAAGGCAAAATTTTATAGTGTACAGCAAGGATGCCATGTGAGCTCAAAGGTGGTTGTTTAGTCACCTACCATAAAGCAAATGACAAACCCATCTTACTTCCCCTTTTGCTTTCTCAAACTTGGCTTGCTTGCTTACACTAGTTCCACCTGTTAGAATTAAAACTACTCATTCAAAGATCTACTAATTGTGTATATCTTATGTCCAAAGAGTATTCTCACCAAAAATCATAATTATAAACTAAATTTCCACTAACATGACATGATCATAACAAACACTAAATAATCCATTACTCCCTCCATTTCTTTTGGTTGTCTTAGTTTGACTATACACGTATATTTAGGTAATGTTGTTTCATCCTGTTTAAATGATAATTATTTTTTTAATATATAGATCTTGTTAAATATTTTCATTTTATCAAAAAAAATAATTGCTATTTATATACTATTAAAAAATATATTACCTAAAAATATATGTATAGTTAAATTAAGATAACTGAAAAAACGAGTAAAAATGTATTTTGCAATTTAAATTGAAAAACATGAGTAAGTAGATGAGAGAAATTCTATAATTGCGATAATAAATCCTATCATCTAATGGCCTAAATTTTGTAGTTTATTCTATACCGATAAATTGGTTTCTGAGTTAGGCTAAATTCCATGTGTTTGGAATGGACCGGCTAAGGTCTAACCACTTGCAATTTATTTTAATATTGGGCATAGTCTGAACCAAGATGGAAGCGAAAGGACCACGAGACTATGGCGTTAATTAATGGTCTAATTGTGGGCATGGTGCCTACTGCTAATTGGCCGAATTACCTTATCTTTTTTTTTTTTTCTCTGCCTAGTTTTATATATTTTGAATTTAATTACTCACGGAGTAATCTTAAAAGTGCATCTCTATCTTAGCTTATTGTATTTTAAAAAATTAATTTTTTTAAGTACTAATTTAAAACTTAAATTTTAAATCTATCTTATAAGATTTTGTGAGTTATTTGGTATTTATACACCTAAAAACTATGATAAATAAAGGGTATAAGTAAGATTTTAGCATTTATTTTTCATAATATAATTTTCAACTTATAAATTTTTTTCTCATTTTTTTAAGAAAAAAAGTTTCTCACAATTCTTCTTATATAAGACCCGTTTAACAATTTTCTCTATTAACATTTTTTATATTAATTTTTTATTAAACACAACAAAATTAACATCGTAATAAAATATTAACAAAATTTTATTATAAAATTGGAAAAACCCTATGTTAAGCCCCCAAACTTACCTTAGATTCTCAATTAAATTCTTAAATTTTTGTTAAAGTAAATAAGTGCTTAAACTTAGCGATTCGGACAATTTAATCCTTTTTCTGTATAACAAACTTAATGACTGTTTATGCCTTTCTTGCGTAGACAAGGTCAAAACTTGCCATGTAAACAGTGACATGTCAATCTTTTGTTTATGTAAGTGAGATATAAATAGGCATTAAGACTATTGTAAAAAAAAAAGAGTTGAAATTGCCTTGGATAACTAAGTTTAGGGGTTTATTTACTTTAATAAAAATTTAAGAGGTAAATTTAAGAGCTTAACATAAAGTTTTACTTATAAAATTTATTAATTTTTTTTGTATAATACTATTCTAATTACTTTTTTAACAAAAACATTTTAAAAAAAGTTCGTTTAAACCAAATATACCCTGGATCCAACTTTGGTTCTAATTATCTTTCCTCTAAACTCCTGTTTATTATGGTTATGAGAATAGCCTGCGGTGACTGAAAGAGTGAAGTAATGGAAGTATATTTAACCGACTGCTTGGATTACGTGGTTGTTGGCAGTTGGGGTTTCTTTGTCATAGAAGTAAAATTCAACTGCTCCTAAAGAAAATTTCCTAAATCTTAAAGAAATTTTATGATGTAATTTCATTTTCGAACTCCATTTGTCAAATTTTGTGTAGGTTTGCTGGAATACGTGTTTGGGCTCGATGCCAGCTCGAAAAAGTATGCATACTTTCCAGGTCTATGATGCATGTGTTGTTTCAATGACTATTGTAGCCGCCCAAGTATCTACTTGCATATCGCTTCTGTTAAAAAAAAATAAAAAACAGGAAAGATGGGAGACTTTAACTCGACTAAATACTGTAAAAAATTTAAGCCATGGCCAAAGTTTTGAGCTGTACATTCATTCTCTCTCTCCTCTTTTTTTTTGTTTTTACTGAAGCTAAATGAACTGTACATTCATTCTCAAGCTCAACTTTTTTTTTTTTTTTTTTTTTGGTTTCCCATCCGGTATCCGGGGCTTAGCTCCGACTACTCCAGACTCAACCAGCTGTGGTGCACCAGAATGGTGGGTGGGTATTCCAACGAAAGCTGCTGCGTATACAAGCTCAACTTATTAAATTAAATAAATTGGGATTATAAATTAAAAATTTTAGGTTTAAATTTTTGAATAAGTATGTAGAAAGTGATCTTAAAAGTCTATTTTAAGTGAAAGTAAAAATTTTAAATTTTGATCATCAATTGGGACGAATTGAAAGATAAAAAAATTTATTTATCTATTATTATATAATTAAATTTTTTTTTAAAAAAAAGGAGAGAGTAACATGTTATCAAATGTAGGAAAGAATTAAATTAAATAAAAATTAAGCCAAACAATGGAAATGATAAAGAAATCAATGTTTATCAACTAAATTTATAAAAAATTAGGCAAAAAAATATTTTAAACCTATGTCAATAAAGCATATCATAAGAAAAAAAATTACAATGGTATTATTTTTACCTTAAAAAGTAAGTTATTTTTACTTTTATTTTTTTTGAAATATTTTATCAAAATGACGTGTTTTAAAATATTTTTTTATTAAATTTTTTATAGGTAGGGTTAATAAATATTTTTTGAACAAATGAATATAAGGCTGAATATTTTTAGATACAGATTAAGTATGGATTATATTTAATACTTAATTTAAAAATTATTATTTTTTGTACAACTTTTCTTCAAAGAAAAAAGGAACTTAATTTGGGTTTTGCAGATCTAAGCACTTAAACTGACGCTCCAAATTGGTCCACACAGAATGTATTACAGTGGGCCACAAAGATTCACACCATTCGCCTAGTTCCAAGTGTTCCTTGTTCTTCTCTTCGTCTCGCTCAATCCATGAATGCAGAGAACAGAAGAACCCTCAATCCCTGAATGCTTCCTGCTCCAATGTTCTATCAACAGCAAGCTTCTTTCGCGTATTATTCTCAATTCGCATACTCTAACCATAATCCCAACCCTCTATTCTCTTTTCCCCTTCCAATTCCCCCCGCCGAGCCACCTCTGCACCCTCCCGGAACCGATCCCTCCACTAATTTGAATCAATACTCGGTAACCTACGTATATGAGGCTCAGAAACAGGTTTTTGAGGACCCTAATGCCGGTTCTCAGAGTTGGGTCACCAAGCAAGCTGATCCTATTAGATATGATGCTGTAATGTTTCCAACTTTTCCAATTTCTTGCTTTCTTTTGTTAGTTTGATCTTCTTTTTATGTGGGGTTGGACGTGAATTATGCAAATTTGTTATTTCTGATTTTTTAATCTATATGGGTATGGGTCTGATCAAAGCGTAGTGCTAAATTTCGGATAATCCATAGTTACCACTACTATTATAAGGTTTAGCATGTAAGTTAGCTGGCATTTGTCCGAAATCATTCTATGTTGATTTCACATTTTTCAGGTCCAGCATTGAGTTTTCCTATTGAGAATAATGTATTAATGAATGCTGAAAGAATTGGCTCTCAAATAGTGATATTAGTGGACTTGGTGTTGAATTAAACTTCCATGTTTAAGTCATTGCCTTTCTTATTACTGAATGGTGCATGCGGGTTTTGTTTCCAGTTCATTATCAATTATAGAAATGTTTCTGTAAGAGTTTGATGATATTCACATTGTTCTTGTACACTGAGTGGATTGGCAGAACTTGTCAGATTGACAATCTTTCTCCTCCTTCGTACTCTAGGGTTGGCTAGGGTCGGTGGTACCCACAACTTCAAATTCCTTTGCTAGTAGCAATTGGAACTGTCAACCATCGGTTAATGATGACACAGGAAGCATGTTGAAGCAAAAGCAGCATGTCCAAACTATGCAGTGTGAGGTTTGCAACATTAACTGTGATACCAAAGATGTTTATGACAATCACATTATGGGAAAGAAGCATCAGAAGAACCTACGGAAGCAGAACAATCCCAGAAGGACAATATTACACAAAACTTCTAAAGCAATCAACAAGGCAAGCTTGTCTGGTCCTGTGGGCTACATTGGTAAACAAATGTTATTTGGAGTTTCTGCTAGGACAGCCAGTCTAGAATTGGAGATTAGAAGGCAGAAGCTGTTGAATAGCGGAGCTGCAGTTGATTCTGTGAGGATATGCACAATATGCAATGTTGCTTGCAATAGTGAGGAAGTTTTGGACGCACATCTTGCAGGGAAAGGACATGCTGCTCAGGTAAATACAGTGTAAATCCATTTTAGTCTTTGATTAGTTACTTGTCTAGGTGTTGCTGCACCTTTCACAAGCCAGTACAATTTTTCCCTCGTGCTTCACCTTCTTGTGTCAGAAAATGAATGAAGTTTCAAGCTTATGCTAATTTTCCTGCACCATGGCAATAATCTTTTTATTCTCTCTCTCTTTGTTCTGTGTAGTAGTGCACTGCTGTTCTTTTTAAAAAAATATCAGTTGCTACTTTTCCTTAACACAATCAATCAAGTGAGATATATGTGAATGACATAAAACCTTTACTTTTGATTGCGTAGGCTGGCTTGATAGCCCTCAATGGTGTTGGTCCTCATCTTGGTGCAATTAGACCTAAGGGTCGCATTCTTCATAAAAAGAAAAGGGAAATTAAGGTTGTTCAATCTGTATGGTGTGATGTCTGTAAGATTGACTGCAACACCAATGATGTCTATTCCAAACACTTATTAGGGAAGAAGCACCAGAAGAACCTGGAGAAGCTTGACAAATCTAAGAGTGTTGTTGATAAGCCTGCCTCAAATGCTGCCCCACATCCTATAATTGGACCAGTGGAGAACCCAGAGGCAAACGAGGGAAATGTTATTGTCCCACGAAAGTCACAAAAGAGGGCTGCGCAGTCTGAGGATTTGGAGACCAAGAAACGGAGGGTTCTGGAAGGTGGAGCAGCAGCAGCTGAAGTAAGAGTCTGCACTGTATGCAACGTGGTATGCAATAGCCAGCAGGTCTTCAATTTTCATCTTGCTGGCCAGAAGCATGCAGCCAAGGTGAATAAGGCGGCAGCTACCATGGTGCCAACCATCACAACATAGATGATTACTGCTGCATAAAGACATGTAGATGGAGAAATTTAAGAAATTTATCTTTTTTGTCATTCTCACCATATTCAGTAAGTACTTTGGAATATTGTAATTACCCCGCTCACTCTTGCTTTGTTCCCTCTGTAAATCCCCTTGTATTAACTTCCTATTGAGCTACTAGGAAATTGTGGTTGGACATGGATGCATTTAATTTATTAAATATCTAGATATCAACAAGAGTTTAGTTGAATTAGTATTCATTAATTTAAAAATTTTAATTTAAAGTGAAAATAAGAGGTTCAAACATTTATAATGCTACTCCTTTTGTTGTCAAAATAATTGTCCTTTTTTACTTTGAGTTAGTATCAAAATAATTGTCACTTTTTAAAAAATTTTTTAAGATAGATAAATATTTTTTTTAGTTTAACTTTATCATTATTTATTTATTTTTGTTAATTATCTTATCATAAAAAGTTTAACTTTATCTTT